CAGAGATAGAATTTTTTTAAACACCGGTAGTTTTGCGACGCAACGAAAACGCATACGCGCGTCGCGCATTTTTCACTAATATCTCGAAAATGGACTTTCGAATCGAGGTTAACGCGTACGCGCGTCGCGCATTTTTTGCTAATATCTCGAAAATAGACTCTCGAATCAAGGCAAAACTACCGGTGTTTAAAAAAATTCTATCTCTGCTTTATTTGGTTGTACAGACTTGAATAAAAAGTGAAATTGTGCGGAATTTTGTAAGCTACAAATTTTATACCTGCATAAATTTTCGGAAAGTTGATATTTTCCGAGTTATTTGTGAAAAACTGGTTTTTTGGACCTTTTGGACTCTCCCCTGCCCGCAACGTAGCGTCTACACATGGGGACTTTTAATATGTTAAATAATACCCTAAAACAAGCCTGTTTACAAAGTTTCAGCCCAGTCCGTATTATTTCCTCCAAATCGACAAATTTCGAGTCATTTTACTGGGCTATTTATTGCATTATACAAACGGATAAATATTTTCAAATATAAATAATATATGAAACGTAAAACGTCCCAAATAGTAAAAGCATATAAAAAAACTTTAGAAGACAATTTAGAAATAGAAACTTAATAAAATGCAATTTTGCAACTTGTTGCCTTACAAAATAAAAGCATAAATTGTTCAAAGTTATTGTTTCAGCTTATTGTTAGTAAAAGTCAATATTATAACTAGACATCAGATTTTTTTATATGTAGATTGGTGGAAAAAAGCAATCAATAACAATTAATAAAATTGTATTATTTATAATATCCAACATATTCATACTGCAACATATGTTAAGTATAAATATGTTGGATATTATAAATAATAGTTACTAATCTTAGTTAATAATTGCTTTTTTCCACCAATCCGCATATAAAAAATCTGATGTCTAATTATATAACTTTTAAACATGCTTGCTGCCTTAAAATAAAAATCATGAACATGTATATTTGCTTTTTTACTCAAAAGATTTTTTTACTCAAACTTATTTCATAAAAAAGTATATTATTAAAAAAATTTATTATTATTATCACACACTGTACCATAAAACAGTCATAGATTTATTTCGTAGTGACCTCGTCATCATTCGTAATAAAACTTTTCTATATAGATTCCACGTGAAAGGGGAGGTATATTTCCCTATAGATATTTTATTTTTAGTAATCATTCGTGATTTAGAAATCATTTAATTTGCAACGCGCAAGTGAGGTCAGGTAGACCGTGTTTAAATAAGAAGATCACTTTGTTTATTTTTATTTATTTTTGAGATATTGCTTAAAATTCAATTTCTTTAGGACTTAAAGAATGCTAGAAAAAGAATTTCTGAATAAGAAAAGGCGAATTTGGAGTGACAGATATTTTTTATATAAAAAAATTAATTTTTTTTTATAATCGTAGCTCCTCCTTACCTCTTCCACCTGCCTCTGAGTCATAATAGACCTCTGTGGAATGTCAAATTTTTTTTTTAACGACAAAAATATTTTAAATACGGTTAAATTATACACAAAAATACATTTTTATCGAAAAAAATGCTCATTTACCTTTCACACAACACTGACGTAATTCTCCAACCATGGCATGCACTTTCGTGTCCCACCGAGATTTTGATTGTTCGCCGTTTCGAGAGTAAATGAGCTAGGACTTTAAAATTTTTACCTGAGGTTCCCTGCCACAATAACTTTTTTCCGGCGTGAAGGGGATTCTCCCACAATCATTTGTTTTCCGGAACAAACAACTGTTAGAAATTCGTGGGACACGAAAGGCATGGTTGGAGCGAATAGGGTTAATTAAGCGGGTCTTAGACCTCTATTAAGCTGGACCCCCCACCAGCGCAAATCAAGTTCTTACTAGGTCAAAAATTTAGTGCTATTTAGGTGCTAATTAAGTGCCCTAGTCCGAATTTTGGTGCTCGAACCGTTTAGCAGGAAATCGCGTAAAAAATGGGGGGGTCCAGCTTGCCATAAAGCTGGACCTCCCCATATCAGAAAATGGTCCTACAAAGAAGATAAGTACACTATAATTTAGTGCTAATTAAGTGCTCTAAAAAAAACGATAAAATATTGACAGATTATAACATTTATTTAAATATACCATTATATATTGAACACAGTACCGTCGCGGTCGACACAAACATTTAAAAAGATTGCTGCATGAATATATTCGTTACTAAAATGATCGAAAACATATATTTCCCAAATCTGAGTTCATTGCTAACAGTAAAACAATTACAATAATTAACTTAGACCAGCCGTTGGCGCTGAGCACTAAGTTCCGTCATCTGATCGTCTACGAATTTGTTGCTCGCATGATTATAGTATTAAAATAATTCTCAGACATTGTACTTTAAAAGAATTACACGATTCGAATTTAGTGTTAGCTGCTTAGTGTTGAAATTAATTATATGTTGAAATTAATAAAAATCGAAAACGCTATAAGTTTGTCTGTGGGTCTGTTTTTTAGCTGCACTGGAGAAGGTATTAATTATAATTAATGACTGTGTGTGTACATACATACATACATACGGCTGTAAAATGGAACAGAGAATAGTTTAATATTAATATATACACAGTAAAAAATCGTGCGTCCAAATGTTAAAATTTTCTTGTGTTACAAAGATTTGACTATTATTTCAATGTAAAATTAACATACAACAGCTATGTTATTATTTTCGTAACATTTTCATGTGTTAAATTAATGTCAACGTGATAACTTAACACTTTATGTATGTCATTTAGAAATTAAATATTATTTTGAGTTCTTTTAACATAATTATTTCAAAAAATCAACACGTCTTAAAGTTATTTTAACATAAACAAAAGTTAAAGTAAATCTTCAAATAATCGTAAACTTTGACATACAAAATAATCAAATTTACTACAATCAAATGTTCAAAACAACATTTCTTTTAAGTTGAAGTAACTATTGTTTATTCAAATATGTTATATCGACATTTTTTACAAGTTATTTTTACATTATACTTAAAGTAAAAGAACAAATATAAATGTAAAATATAGTGTCAATAAATTAACATTTCTAATTTGTCAACGAGTAACACACGATGAATAAGTTATTTTAACTCAAAATTTAGAGTGAATTTTCTGGGACATTTAAAAAATGTTACGATTACCATTTTATTTTTTACTGTGTAAAATTTATTAACATATGTAATTCAATAAGTAATACAACACATTTTTTTCTCATTTAAGGTTTGTTTTATTTTAATTTTAAAACTGCAGTTTTAAAACTGCAATAAAACAAATCTTGAATGAAAAAAAAATGTGTTGCATTACTTATTGAAAGCCCCTCGAATGAAACTCATGATTTTAACAACTGAATTATTCGTTTAGATTACCAAAGAACGACGAGAAAAGGAAAAAGTGGTTAGAATCATTAAATTTAAGTAATTATAATGTACTAAAATCTGGTCCTGTGTGTTTCGCTCATTTTCAAGAAGTGGACTATGATACAACTAATATTTGTCGAACAAATTTGCTCAAAGCAAATGCTATTCCATTTGTAAGTTAAAAATAAAATTTTATTCTTATTAGCAATTATTAGCCAATTTTATCGTACAGTGCTTATATGCGCTCATATGCCTGGACACACCGAAAATTGTTTGCGTTGCGGAAATTTGCTTCGTTTCTTTCTAAGAGGGACAGTTAGAAAGAGACGAAGAGTGAGTTTTCAAAACGCATCCAATTTTCGGTGTCCAAGCATTAATGAGCGCAACTGTACAATAATAAGATAATTCATGCAGATTTTCCATGTTTTAGTTATCTGAAAAATACGCTTGCAAAACAATATACCTACAGGCAGAAAAATATGTGACAAAAATGTACAATGCTCACTGTACAATGTATGATGAAGCTGGTTAGTATTGAAATTGATTAAATTTATATACATTAAAAATAATTTTTAGCAAACTAGCATGGTTTTTAAAGTAGTTGTATCGCGTCAGTATTAGTAAAAAATAATGGTCACACTGCAATACGATAATGTACAGAAAACTCTACTTATCTGTGTAAAACTTTTGACTGAGCTTGTACTGTTTTTACTCGCGTCAGTATTTACGTATTTAAAGTATTTAAAGCGCGACAACTATCCTATGTAGTAACTAACACATACATGCACGATTTAGGTTGCGTTCCGCGTGCTAATGTCGGTAACGCAAAGTTATTGATTTTTCGTTATGTGAGCGAGCGAGAAGATATAAGAGTGAGCGAGATGACAATAAAAGCGAGCGAGACAGTAATTGGAGTGAGCGAGATGAGAATAACACATGCAGAAGCCGCAGAAGGCTCGGGGGTGGGAATCTGATCGAGGATCGAGCATCGGTCTTTTCCTTGCGCGCCGTTGTTCTTATCTCGCTCATTCCTGTTACTTAGGCCAGTCATATTAGACATCGAACCTTCCAATTACTTTTTTCAGGTTGCAACCACCATGAATCGCTTTGATTTAAGGTGCTGTAAGTGGGATTAATTTTGCTTCGCATAATTCTTCTTTAGTTTGTAGCTATGTAAGCAAAAATTTCGTCCACAACAAGATGCATACGATAAAATTCGTCTCAAATAAATTCTAAGGCCTGAAAACAGCGAAAAACTAAGAGTAGGGGAGACCGGCTAAGCCGACAGTGGGGCGAACTTGACACTAAGCTTTTTGCCAATTTAAATCTATTGTAGAAACTTGCCTTTGCTACTGTAAATGCGTCTTTATGTGCCAGTATTATCAACGGAATTTGGTAACATTCTGAGTTATAGTGTAATTTTTAACGCAACGTAAGTGTTTTTGATAGTGAAAAGTAATTTTTCTGATCTCTCGAAAATGTCTACTCTTTCATCGAACTTTACTCTTGCGAATCTACCGGTAAGTGATTTTGATGAGAAATTCGATGCTTTATACGAATCCGATAATAATTTTTGCATATTTTTAAAATTTATATATTTTTGGAGTAACAAAAGTAAAAAACGACGTTCGGGGCTAAGTCGACACGACGCCACCGGGGCAAAGACGACACTAACCTAAAGTGACATTATCGCAAAAAAGGTCACTGTTTTGTCCGATTCCGATGACGATTTAAGGAACATCTGTTGCGTGTGTTCGGAAAACATTTCATTAGCTTCTAATAACAAACAATGCATCTTATGCAACCGTATGGCTCATGACGAATGTGTGCGCACATCTGATCGCGAGTTTACGTGTATAAATTGTTTTTCAGACAGTTCAGAAAAAAATAATTAAAAGTTTAATCTTTTTTTTCTCATTATTTTAAATAATTGTTTACTTTATTCCGACTTTTTGTTTCTAATACACAATGTCTTTTTATTTGATAAACAATGTATTTTTATTTTTAAACAATAAAAAAATAAGTTCTAGATCAAATTGTATCGATTAAACAAAGTGTTGAGTTTGCCCCGGCGGGGTGTCGAGTTCGCCCCGTCATTTTTCAATTTGAAAATTTGTCTTCGCGTCACTTTTCCTTTCCTGGCGGCAAAACAAAGCGACGTACAGCAAAACTTCCTGAATCAATTTTGTACCTAAAGAAACACTCTTTAAATTGTATATATCATTGAATTTGCCTAAAAATTTTAATTAAATATTAAAAATTGCCTTTGAAAAAGTAGTGTCGGCTTAGCCCCGGTCTCCCCTAGTCCAAAAAATCAAAATTTTTTGCTTACATAGCTACAAACTAAAGAAAAAAGGTCTAAAAAATCGGTTACACCCTGAAAAGTATTCTTCGTAGTTCTCAGATGATGTGTGATTTTTTGGGAATTTTTAATTCCATTTTAAATGACTGAAAAAAATCACCGACGCAACATCAAAAAACGATGAAATCGAGGGTTTTCGAGATCCGAGTCTCGGACTTTGACGGCGCGTGCAAGCTAAACGACTGACTTGACAATAAATGTTGTTTAGATCATTATTGTAGATAATTTTACGCTCTACAAAAATGGTACGTATAGTTAGTTACCCTATCTTGCTTAGTTTTCAAGATATTTGAGAAAAAATAAAAAAAATCGCGTTTTTTGTTGATAATATTGTTAATTACTTTTTAATGCGCATTAATTATGCGAAGCAAAATTACTCCCACTTACAGCACCTTAAATCAAAGCGATTCATGGTGGTTGCAACCTGAAAAGAGTGATTGGAAGGTTACCCCCCTAAATTAGTCTAATATGACTGGCCTATACTGTCCTACTCGCTCTTATTGACGACTCGCTTGCTTTTATACTTTCTCGCTCGTTCACATAACAGCTGTGTTTTAAGATCGACACGCTTTAGAAATTATCACATTAAACATTTTTTATATACACCGGGATACACAATACACATGTATAAATTTCTCAATTATATTATAATAAACGATTTAGAACAACGAATCGAGAATAATTTTATTCAATGCAACTCGCTATAACTGTTACTCATTATTACTTATAGTACTACTGTGACACTTATACATTATACTGTTTATATGTTGCATCCAGTCGTCCACCGGTCATATTTTTTCTAACGCGACGATGTATGTACACGCAATTTTTTTTTTTTTTAAGCAGGGAGGGGAAAATGCCTGACGCACACCCGCGTCCGGCGGGGTAGTGTGTGGTTTGCACCCACTGAAAACCCCTCCCTTTCATTCTACAATAAGATTTCTAACAATATAAATAGTTAATACATTAATATCTTTGAAAAACAAATATATATATGTATATTATTTGGAAATAACTAATTTTTTAAGGCTATGCTATATAAACTATTTATATTTAGCTGATGTGCAATTTAAACATAGAACGCATTTTTTAAAAAATTTATCAAAAAACAGAAAAAAGATTTAAACTTAGAAGTTTTATTTCAATACTTTTGTGTTGCTGTTAATGAGCATGACGTAAAGACCACACTCACAGTTGAAATAATTGCATAAATCGTCGACTAACAGGTTTCATCACGGGGAAATATACATAAATGTAGGTTTCCTTTAATAAAAATGTCAGTTGTATTTTTGACGTCTTTTTTTCTCATATTTATATTTTACGACGTTTGTTATTGCGAATGGTTTATGAAAATTATTGATATATAGTACGTGTGTACGATACTTTTTAGTTTTAGTAGTACTTTTAGTATAGTAGTCCTTTTAACAGTTTAGTTATTATAGTTGTAGAATAATAACGTGCGCAACACTTAATATGCTTATGTTAATAGCAGCATGTAATAAATCTAAATGTACTTTTTTAAATCTTTATTATAATTTGCATTTTATTACGCATCATTGATAACAAAAAAATGCATGATTTTACAATTTTGTAGCATAATCACATATTACAACTTTTTATATATTTTGTGACAAGACCTGCTAGAGTCTACGATTTATCCAATTATTTCAACTGTGATTGTGGTCTTCACGTCATGCTCATTAACAGTAACACAAAGTATTGAAATAAAACTTTTAAGTTTAAATCTTTTTTCTGCGTTTTTTGATAAATTTTTTTAAAAATGCGTTCTATGTTTAATAAATAGTTTATATAGCATAGCCTTAAAAATGTAGTTATTTTTAAATAATATACATATATATATTTTTTCAAAGATATTAATGTATTAAATCTATTTATATTGTTAGAAATCTTAATATTGTAGAATAAAGGAGAGGGATTTTTAGTGGGTGCAAACCCCACACTACCCCGCCCGGCCGCCGACGCAGGTGTGCGTCAGGCATTTTCTCCTCCCTGCTTAAAAAAAAAATGCGTGTACATACATGGCTTGCCAGACTTAACAACAGGGCCAATGCTTGGCCCGATATATGGTACCCGATAATTGGCCGATACTTGGCATTCTATAGTGGACCATGCTTGGCGAATGATTGGGTGCCATTCAGATAAAGGAACTGTACATTTTGCTATGGCGCTAATGTTTGGCCCGACATATGGTGACCAATGATTGGCCAATACTTGGCTTACTGTATTCGCCCATGCTTGGCATTAAGCGTGTTAAGGAGGTTGGTTGCCGTCTAGTATCCAGATCATCCGATAGATGGCATCCGATGAGATCCGTTTCTCAAATTTAAAATATGATGAACGATGTTATAAGAATGATGACGGAACTGCACATTGCATAACTTGTATATAAGTTTCGTGGCATACACTTTTATAATAAAGCGTGGCACACTTTTGGATTAATGTGACGTTAATATAACTTTATTTTAGTAAATATTGTAATATCTTTATTTTTCAAGACTGCACACTACAAACACAAGTGTGCTACTTTTACACATTTTAAGCGCTTTTTATCGCGGTTTTCTTTTTCCAGACCTCGAATTTACCAGAAATTTATATTTTATAATAGATTAGCCATTAATGGTCAAATATTGGCAGGACAGATTAACCATTAATGGCCCATGATTGGTTACTACGTTTGGCCCATGATTGTTACCCATTGCTGGACCGAAGTTATCATTCCAGAGAAGTCCCACTGCTGGGCCAGTCATGGCTGCCATTATCACGCCAATATTGGTGACTTGGCGACCAGTTTTGGGCCAGAATAGGACCATTAGTAAAACCCTATATGGGTCGTCGCGTTAGAAAAAATAGGACCGATGGACGACTGGATGCAACATATAAACAGTATAATGTATAAGTGTCACAGTAGTAAATACTATAAGTAATAGTGAGTAACAGTTATAGCGAGTTGCATTGAATAAAATTATTCTCGATTCGTTGTCGTAAATCGTTTATTATAATATAATTGAGAAATTTATACATGTGTATTGTGTATCTCGGTGTATATAAAAAAATGTTTAATGTGATAATTTCTAAAGCGTGTCGATCTTAAAACACAGCTGTTACGTGAACGAGCGAGAAGGTATAAGAGCAAGCGAGTCGTCAATAAGAGCGAGTAGAACAGTAACAGGAGGAGCGAGATAAGAACAACGGCGCACAAGGATAAGACCGATGCTCGATCCTTGATCAGATTCCCACCCCCGAGCCTTCTGCATGTGTTATTCTCATATTGCTCACTCCAATTACTGTCTCGCTCGCTCTTATTGTCATCTCGCTCACTCTTATACCTTCTCGCTCGCTCACATAATGAAAAATCAATAACTTTGCGTTACCGACATTAGCATGGAACGCAACCTGAATCGTGCACGTATGTGTTACCCCGTGGCCCAAACGTGGACGTTGGCTACGTAGTTCATGTGTACGTTTTGGCTGCGTTCGGGGAGCGCGTTATTTTATTAGCGCTATTGCATCATTCTATCTTTATCGCTCAGGTGTAAAACAAGGATAGAATAAGCAAATAGCGCTAATAGCGCGTTCCCTTTACGTCGATCCCATGAGGGCGTATCGCGTTCGCGGATTACCTAAAACCGGGCCGTGCAGTCGTCTCTCATTCTTCTCTGGTATAACTTGATTAATAATGTAATAATTTATAATTCTATATATATTTAATCTAGAAAATTAAGTTTCTCTAACTTTCTTTTATTAAAATTATTAAACTACAGGTATCAGATTATGAAGCATTTCCACGCACGACGCAAGAGCTTGGAGAGCATCTCACATATCCAATCATCTGGAAGAGATATATATATATGCTACAAGGCAAAAAGATGCCTGGGTTTTAGGTAACTATATTTTTATATAATTTGTTCTTAATTATTTCAGTTTTGGCAATTTAAAAAACATATTTTAAACAGTATATGGTTTTTCTAGGAGATAGTGCACATCTTCTACTACTATATCTGATGACACCTAAGCTACATGTTCGTTGATTGCGCTCCAAAAGGTGGTGATGAGTTATAGTTGTGAATATTCTCGAACTTCGTAATTTATGCGTAGTATAAATTTCAGTACCTCTTGCGGTATAAAAATCGAGATACTGAACTTCAAAGTTTCAACTTTTACTAAATTTTGGTAAAAATTGAAAGGCTCAGTATCTCGATTTTTACACCGCAAGAGGTATTAAATAATGAATACCACGCATAAAACACACCTAAATTAACGTATATTCACAGTTTCAAGAAAATCTATAGTATTTCGATTTTCTCTAGTATTATGTCTATAGTATTATATATTATTTTTACAATATATTAATATTCTTTATTTTATGTAAAGCCGTTTTAGACTTGTATACTGGAATTGGTTACAAAACAAAAAATTAAAATACTTTGAAAAAAATATATAATATTATATATGTATAATGTAAAAAATATAAAATTGTTATAAATATATTTTTATGTTAGTCCAAATTTTTATAAATAATGTTTTGAAAAGCGTCACATTTGAACGTAAACGAAACGCCATCTCATTGGCTCGCGGACTTGTGACGTCACCACGACAAAACTCGATGACATCTCCATAAGAGAAACAGTGTCAGTGTTAAATAATATTGTTTTAGAAGACGATATATCATATCAATACAAAGTAAAAAATGGTTGATTCGGGCTTTGTGAAAGGTAATTCCAATAATTTACCAAAAGTAGACATGTTTATGGTATGTAAATATGTGAAAAATAATGACAACTTTAATGCTGCTCTGTTGAGGTCCGCAATGCAAAAATGAACGTATAAGTTTTTAACATAAGAAAATTTATTAAAATTTGATTATATTTATCTTTTATACAATATTGTTAATATGTCTTACACATTTATTTGTTGTTATTTTTGTTTTTCTCGACAAAACTATGGAGATTCCGCAATAGGTTATGTTTGTGTAAAAAGAGAAAATTTTATGTACAGTTGAAGCCAAAGTTCGTCCTGAACACCGAGTTCGAAATAAAGCATATTCTATTATTGTAATAGTTAATGAAGAAAATGAATCAATTGTTAATGTGGAATGTCAAGATTGTGCTGTTTCAAGTGGTAGGCTTAATCTATAAATCTATGATTTTGTATATAAGTTTACTTAATGTGTATTATAACAAATATTAATTAACTTATATAATTTATTTTACTATAGATGGTTGCAAGCACGCCGCAATAACTTTTTTGATGTGGATTCACAGACGTTCTGAAAATCCATCTCCTACAGATGTACAATGCTACTGGAAAAAACCTGTATTAGCAAATGTTG